CTCTCACCCTTGCTATCTCCTCCATTTGCCGTGCCCTGGAGTCCCCTGCTCTCTCCTTCCTTCTATTATCTGCTCAAGCTCTTCCTCTCGGCCCCACCACATGCCACCTCCTGCTCTGCCCCTTGACTGGCCCTTCTCGTCCTTCCTGTTTAGCCCTGGGAACCTGCCCACAGGCTGCCTTCAGTCTGAACCGGCCTCAGGAATTGCCTCGAGCACTGGGAGTACGAACCTGCCCTGGGTACCAGGCGCAGGCTGCTGCAGCGGGTACCCCCCACCGCCTGCCTCCTGCCAGCATGCGCTTCGAGATACCTATTTTGTCTACAGAAGCTTGTCTTTGCTTAAGATCTGCAGCCTGTACCTGTGACACCAAGGGCCTGTGCGGCTGAGATTGAATGCAAATCCTCCTGAGTGACGCAGGGCTGCTCTAATTGGCTTTGACTTCCCTGGTATTGCAAGCCCAGTGTTTCTTCAGAAACCGTCCTCTTCCCTGCCCCTCACTGCGAATAGCGTCTTGTGGCTTGGTATTCCAGCCGCCGCATTTCTCCCTCCAAATATTTTAGCTTGCTTCTCCCAGACGCCCAGCTGACTTCCTCAGATGCATCATAAATCTCCCACTCTTCTAGAGCATCCCAGCACGCTGATCACAACAGCACAGCGTGACCTCTCGGGGTGATTAATGCCACCTGCGTGTTTGTAACACAGCCTTCAACTGTGGAGATGTCAGGATAAATCACCGTTCGGCACTTGTTAGCTGGGCTGAAGCCAGGAAACTTAGTGTGGCCCCTGTATTTTATAGGTGAGTACAACAGAGCTCAGGAGGTTAGGCGACTTTCTCAAGGTCACACAGTCAGAAATCGCCCAACAAAACTGGGACCCAAATCCAGATTTTCTGTTTTTCACCTCAATATTTTTTCTCCAACTCATCAAAAGCTATTTAAATTTTTTTTTAATTTTAATTTAAAAATCGCGGTAAAATATACATAACAAAATTTATTGTCACAACCATTTTTAACTGAAGTTTAGGCCATTGAGTACAATCGTCTTGTGCAACCATGGCTGCCACCTATCTCCAGAACTTTCTTTATCTTGAAAAACGGAAACTCCATACCCATTAAACACTAACACCCGATTCCCATAACCCCACCCCCTGGCCACCACCAGTCCTGTTCCATGTCTAAGAATTTGACTATTCGGTGGACCTCACATATATGGAATCATAGTGTTGGTCTTTTTGTGTCTGGATTACTTCCCTGGCACTCTGTCTTCAAGGTCTGTCCTTGTCATGGTTAGAATTTCCTTCCTTCTTCACTCTGAGTGCTATTCCATTTGCTGTGATGATGCTTTAACATCTCAGTGGAGTTGTAGTTTTAGAACAAGGCGACTTTCCCAGGCGCATTTCCTAAACATCCACTAGGGGGCGGTAAAAGATGCAGAAATTCCTCAGTAAGCCTGATGGGTGCCGAGTAATCTGGCCACCGCATCCTCGGTATCTCTTTGAGCCGTCCACCTATACGTTACGGAGATCATGGATTTCACATCCAGCAGCAGTTTTGGCGAAAACCAGAGATACCACCAGCTGTACTCTCAGTGCAAGTCTTCCTCACACTCTTGCTGACACCCCGCCGGAGAACTTCATGCGAGATGATGGTTTCAGATTGTATTTCTATTTAACTCACATTAGCTTGATGATTCTTGCAGGGAGTACACATCACAATCACCTGTAGTGATTTTCCTAAATACACATGCCCAGGTCTCAGCTGAGACCTAAGTCAGAATTTCTGGGGCTGGGACCCAGGTATAAGAACCAGTGTATTCGTTCTTAGCTTTAGTAATTGGCAGTGGGGGGTGGGAGTGGGGTCTCCCTAGAATAAAAACCTCAGAGCATAATGGGTATAAATTCTGAAAAATCATTTCCTTTCCCCTAGTAAGTGTCTAAAGGGTCTTGTGGCTATGGGAACCACATTCTGAGCAATATGAAGCTTTCCTATAGATCACACCTATATTTTAACCAGTCGGGAACCCACCCAGACAGGAGATTTCTGAAAACTGGAGAAAACTGGCCAGCTCAGGATCCACAGATACAGTTCCAAGGGGCCAAAATCTTTGGTGTGAGGCCAGTGCTCAGACACCATTATTGCCTGACATGTTGAGAGAGTCTCCCCTGTAATAATCAGAAGAGAATTTTATCTTACCAAAGGCAAAAATGGATATAGTGAATCTGAGATGGGATCAGGAAACCTCAGTTTTCAGCTTAACCATCCCACTAGTCAGTTATGGGACCCAGGGCAAGTCATGTCACTTGTCTAAGCCTCAGCTTCCCCTTTGAATTATGAGAGGATTGGACGATGTTGATCTCCAAGGATACTTTCAAGTCTAAAAATTCAATGATTCTATTAGTATTAATAGTCTGGGTTTGTAGTCACTACTCACTCAGGCAAAGAGCAGAAGAAATATTCAGTACTGCAATGAATGACAGAGACTATTGACCAGGCAGTTTAATTTATTTAAGGCATATACACTGAATTCAAAGGAGAAAATATCACTCCTCATAATATATTGAGCTGTTAGTATCTTTGGCACAGCAAACGCTTTCCAGAGGGAAAAATTAGCCATCAGTGCAAACTTGACATTTTTCACTTCCTGACCATAACTGCCATTTGTCCGGGACTCTCATATTTACTGTAAAGCGCCACGTGTATGAATGCTTTGGATGAATATTAAATAACTACATAAGCGTCAAGGTCACAGTTGCACGAAGGGCTCCGTGGAAGGCCCTGGGAGGCTGGCATTGATCTCTTGTGAAGTTCCATTCTCGAATCCTGCTGACAAGGGGGAAACAATTGATGTGGACCATTATTAAGGCTTTAAGTGTTTCTCCATTGTTAAAGATCTTTTACAAGCCCGGAATAACTGATAGTGCCCGAGGAATTGGCAAAAGCTTCACTTAGAAATATGGGCTGGTCGAAGAGATAAGTACATCCCGAGTACAGATGTCCCGGGTCAGGCTTACACAGCAGAGGTGGGGGCCATGGGGTGCAGCACCAGGACAAGCCACCCACTCGGCCGGCCGGGGTCTGCTCTCAGCTACATGCCAGAAGCCTCAAACTCTATGGCTTTCTCTTCCTCTCTGTTTCTACCTTTCCATTTCCTCTGACTCTACTCTCCTGGTGAAAACCTCCTCTCCTGCCTTTTTGTCCGTCTATTCTCCATAGTTGCCCAGAGCATCGCACAAAGTCTGGTGTCTTAGTCCATTTTTCTGTTGCTATAACTGAATACCTGAGACTAGGTAATTTATAAGGAAATTTATTTCTTATAGTCCCAGAGACTGGGAAGTTCAGCATCAAGTGCTGGTATCTGGTGAGGGCCTTCGCACTGCACTATAACATGGTGGAGAGCGAGACAAAGCAAGCAAGCTAGCTTGGGTCTCTCTTCCTCCTCTTTCAAAGCCACTAATGCTGTTATGGGTTCTACTTTCCTGATGTTATCAAATTCTAATTACCCCTTAAAAGCTTGTTACAATTTGGACTGTCACTATCCTCTACAGGTCATGGGTAGAAAGCTTTTTGGCCAGCCTGTGGGAGGGGGTGGACCTCTAGGAGGCAGGGGCTGGTGGAAGGAAGTGAGGTCACTGAGGGCACGTCTCTAAAGGGGATCCGGGACCATAGACTCTTCTTATTCTCTGTCTACTCCTGGTTGCAATGAGGTGACCAGTGTCCTCTTTCACGTACTTCCACATGGTGTGCTGCCTCACAGCAGGCGCCCCCAACAGCGTGAACAAGTGACCATGGACTGAAACCTCTGAAACCACAAACCAAAATTAAACTTTCCTCCTCTAAGTGGCTTTTCCCAGGTGTTTTGTCACAGTGATGTGAAGCTCACTCGCGCAGCTCCATTTTCACATATGAGTTTGGGGATCCAGTTTTCAACACATGGATTTTGGGGAACACACTCAGTCCACAGCACTGGAGGGATCAGGAGTGTGTGAAATGAGGCCCAACTGCAGGTCAGGACCTGGACTGCTCAGGGGCCTGGATAATTAATTACTGAGTGTCTTGCTGTCCCGGAGCTGGAAGGAAAGCAAATATTGTGGATGACAAAATCTAGTTTCAAAGAGATCTCAGCAGACTGAAGGACGGGCGAGTCTACTAGCTGAACTTAGGAATGGACGGAAGTGATAAAATGGGCACTTCCTGTGTGTCAGCTCTGCTTGGTGTTATGCTTGGCCCAGGTGAGGGTGCAATTTCACATCACTTTTGAAGTGAGGGAACAGGGACATGGTGATACAGAGGAAGGTACAAGGGCTTTAGAGGCATTGATCTAGATTTCTGCCCTCCACCTCTGATTAGCAGAAAAATTTTATCTTTTAATAATAGTAGACGGGGGGGTTGGTTGTCTTTCACAGCCTGCTGCATATATTTTCTCATTTAATCCTCAGCCGAGTCATATTTAGCAGATGACAAACGCACAGATAACTTCTGTCACTTGCTCAAGTCACATGGTTAAGTGGAAGGGCCAGGCAGTCTGGCTGCAATACCCATTCTTAACAGTGGGGGCGCCCTGTGTGTTTCCAATATTGCAAAAAAGAAGCAGCCATGTTTTTGTGAGGTTAGATGAAATAACTTGCCTAGTGCAGTACCTGGCACATGCTGGGCATTCACAAAGGGCATTTGACCACCCTGAATATTCTCATCATCATTGTTTGGCATATGGCTTGCTCCAGGGAGGAGTAATAACCTGCAAAATGAGATTTGAACCCAGGTTTTGTGACTGCCAACCCCTGTACTCTCCTTCTCCCTCTGAAGCAGAAGATTGAGGACGGTTGTTATGCCACTGTCTCAGAACTTCCCTGTGTCATCCCTGTGGAAGATGCGTGGCGGGTACTCAGTAGGCGGGGATCATTTTGTTCCTTGTCCACCAAATGTTTTCCCCGAGGGCCTGCTGTGTTGGGGATCCAGAGAGGAAAAGAGAATAATGCTAACCATTCTTTTTCCCCCTCCCAGATTCAAATGGTAAAAGATGACAACCCCTCCTGGAAGCCCACTTTCATTGTGAAACCTGACGGTGGCTGTCAGGGTGATGGAATCTACCTCATTAAAGACCCCAGTGACATCCGGCTGACTGGGACCCTCCAGACCAGGCCAGCAGTTGTCCAGGAGTACATCTGCAAACCTCTCCTTATCGACAAGCTCAAGTTTGACATTCGTCTGTATGTCTTGCTGAAATCCCTAGACCCCTTAGAGATTTATATAGCCAAAGATGGACTCTCTAGATTTTGTACAGAGCCATATCAGGAGCCCAGTTCCCAAAATCTGCACCGGGTCTTTATGCACTTAACCAACTATTCACTGAATATCCACAGCAGCAACTTCATCCACTCGGATAATGCCAGCACGGGCAGCAAAAGGACTTTTTCCAGCATTCTTTGTAAGTTGTCTTCCAAAGGTGTTGACATCAAGAAGGTCTGGTCTGACATCACCTCCTTGGTGATCAAGACTGTCATCGCCCTGACTCCAGAGCTCAAAGTTTTCTACCAGTCGGACATCCCCACAGGGAGGCCGGGGCCCACCTGCTTCCAGGTAACCACTGCCAGTTCCTGCCCTGAGTTCCCGGTCTTGACCAGGCCAGGCCTAGGGAGGGCTCCCTGGCTTGACCATGGGATGAGGGGTCAGGGGCTGGGGGGGATGGTCACAGGTGGGGACAGGATGGTGGCCAGTGTGGGCTTTGGTGTTAAAACTTGGGCCTGACTTCTAGCTTTCTGTTCACTAGCTGTGTACTCTCGATAAGTAAGTCACTTCCTTTTTGTTGCCTATAAAACAAGACCAACAGTACCTGCTTTAAAGGATTCTTTCAGAATTCAGCGGGACACCATACGGGAGGCAGGGTGCCATTTGTACCTTCATACCTTCATTTGACAATTTTTGCCGCCACTTAGCAGGGGTCAGGCATTGTCTTGGTACCAGTGAGACAGTAGGTCAGATTCCTGCTGGCTGACGCAGAGTCTCAAAAGTGGGAGAAAAATACTTAGGCAATTATTATAGAGGGTTGCAAGTGCTAGAATCAAATCAGTCACGTCCTGGGTCCCGGGTGCTGTGAGATGTGGTGCATCCGACATCTCCGGGTGGGGAGTGGTCAGGGAAGGCTTCCCGGAGAAAATGGTAGTTGAACTGGGACCTGAAGGAGGAGATGAAGCAGGCAGGGCCGGAAGGAGTGGGAGTGGCAGAGTGTTCTGGGGGAGACCCGCTTTTGCCCTAGAGGGAAGAGGGAAGCATGGTAAGTTGGGGCGCTAAGAGGGGTTGGGTCTAGTGGGGGGTTTCAGGCAGAGAGGTGGAGGGAGGTGAGGTGGCAGAAGTAGATAGGACAAGTCGTGGAGAGCCCGAGGCAGTGGGGGCCACCAGAGGACAGGCTGTACTCAGAAGTGCATGCTCCAAAGAACACAGCACCTGCAGGAATGGACGGAGGCCAGGCCTGGGGCAGGGAAGACACCAGGCAGTTGCTTTCCTACAGGCAAGGGAGGTGCTGGCTGGATTGGGAAGTCTTGGTGGAGATGGAGAGGATCAATGGCAGTGCCATTTAAGGAGGTTGGAAGACTAGACTTGGTGACAGGATGGGATTGAGAGGAAGAAAAGAGTTGGTGGCAAAGAGGGACAGGAGGAACGGAGTCAGGCTCGCAAGTGGCTTGGGCACTTGGGTGGGTGGACAGAGGCCACCCGAGGGGACCAGGCTAGTGGTGGGGGTCCAGGAGTTAGGCTTGAAGTACCTACGAGACACTCCAGTGGAGCAGGTGGCTAGAACATTGGGTATTGGGGTGGAATTCAGGAGTGAGAGGTCTGGGCTAGAGAAAGAGATAGGAATTCATGAGAGTTGCGATGTGACCGCAGACATGCAAAGCTCAGGGTGAGGAGAGGCCAGAAGACGCCGTGGGCACCATTGGGTAGAGACGGGGGAGCCAGCGAAGGAGGCCAGCAGTGGTGTGGAGATCTAGGGGGGGGGTCAGGAGAGGAGGTCCTGGAATGCCGAGGAAGGGCCCTCAGAGAAGACACGGGAAGGGCCAGCTGCGTGGACCCTGCCGAGCTGCCCCTCATCACCAGCAGGTGTGCTGGGGACTCCCTGAGAATTGTTTTTAGCAATGAGCCGGTGCGTGGGAGGGGGGAAATGGAGAAGGCAGAACACCTTCAGGTCACTTAGCTGCCAGGGTGGTGGGACAGGAACAAGGACCATAGGCCCTAGTAGGCACTCTCTTCTGCCAGCAGATAAGTCAGAAAGGGGAAGAAAAGACAAGAAGGGCCCCTCTGGGCCCCTCTCCATCTACTCTAACGTTGTTTTGTAGCAATTGATGTGTATATAAAAAGAATATATGGAACACATTTGTAAGCCATGAAGCCGAATGAAGCTCATCCCCAGCCACCTCCCAACCCAAGAGCTTGGGTTAGTATGTCTCCCCCACCCCCTTTTCCCCTCCCACCCTCAAGGCAGCCACATCCTGGATTTTATGTTTAGCATTCCCTTGCTTCTCAAAAATACTTTCATTATGCGCGAATGTATTCCTAACCACTATTCTGTCTTGTTCGGATTGCTTTTAAGCTTTATAAAAACACTATTATAAAGCCTGGAGTCTTCTGCAACATTCCTGTCCACCACTTGCGATTTTTCAAAAGTCCATCCGGGCTGTTGGTCCTGCCTCGTTTGCACTGCCGTATACTGCCTGGCGGACATGCACGGTGTGTCTATGAGCCCTTCTATCAGGGGACATTGGGTGTTTCCAGGCTATAGCAGGAGGACCCCAAAGTGAAGAGAGAAGGAATGGGGCAGTGTCTCCAATGGACGGGGTGCTCATTCACAGGCAATCATTGAGACTGGTCCTCAAGTGCAGCCCCATACATGGAGAGGCTCCTCCAGGGGCTGGGCACCAGGCATCAGGGCTCCTGGGCAGGCTGGCAGAGGCCTTTGAGAGGAATTCAGGAAGTGACCAGTACCAGGCGGGGATAATCATCATCCAGAGATCTTGAACTCCAGGCTTTTGGGTCGCAGGCAGGATGCCAGACTCAGCCCTCAGGTGGATGGTTTAAGACAGTAGGAAGGTTAAGCCAGCAGCACTTAGGGGCAGGGCCCGAGAAACAAGTCCTGACCCATGCCACCAAAAAGTGAGGGCATCGGAGAGCTTTGCAACGTGGACGCGTTCAGGGGTCATCCTGGGGGAATGTGTGGTCGCATCTGTTTGACGGTGGCAGCTATTCCAGGAGTATCATGTGGGCTCTGGCAAGCACAGCCAAGCCACAGAACCCTGGCATGGTCAGAGTGGCGGGGCGAAGGCCAGGATGGCCGTTTTGCTGCTTGTCTTGCTGTGGACAGGCCACAGTGGGCAGCCATCGGGGTGGAACCAGGGGCCCACACCGTGGGGGACTGCAGGGCAGACAGAGGGAGCCGCTGGTTTGGACAGATCATGTCTAGTAAACGGAACCACAGCCTTGTGACCATTTTCCACCACTTACCCACACTAAATGCTTCCAGGCCTGGGGAGAAAGGAGGAGCATGGGCCAGATGCAAAGCACTCTCCAGCTGAATCTTTACCACCCTGTGTCCCCCCCCCCCCCCCCCGCCCCCTCTCTCTCTGTAAATCACCTGCACTCACTTCCCTGCCTGCCTTTTTAGAGGTATCGTAAAATAATGTAGGTGAAAGCACTCTGCCTGTGTATAAAGTTTTAGATGTTTGGAATTTGTTTTACCCTGCATTTCAAGTACAGAGATTGAGAGAAAATATTATCATTTTCTCCTTGGAGTCCTCTCTTGCTTGCTTCATTTTTGTCACTCGGTAGAGCACTTGTTAGTAGAGGTTTAGAGACCCAAACTGACTTAGAACACAAAGGCTTAGTGGCATGTGTGCTTCTGCCATCCATTACCATGTGATTTTGCATAAATCACTTGATGTCTCGGTGCCTGAGTTTCCTCACCCATCTCATGACATTGTTGTCCATCTCAAAAGAGGTAAAGATCACAAAGGGCTTTGCAAATTGTAATGTTCTGCACAGATACAATAAATTATTTCTTTGCCAGGCAGTCCCTCTCACTTATAGCCTGGACCTGGCCCAGAATACAACATTCCAGAACGTTCTCTCTAGCCAACAAAATTACATTTATCTGAACCACGTGACCGTGACCCCTTTCCAATCATAGCCACAATAGCTACTTGGGAAACTGTGATGGCCCCGAGCAGCGGCTGGCACTGCTGAGGCTGTGGGCAGGGTTCCTGTAATCTGCTTCTTGGGAACATGGCTGCCCTGTCATTCCAGCCTGTCCTCTGTCATTGCCCAGGCAGCCCCAGCAACACGTCCTCACGCCTGTCTTCTGATGGCAGTGGTGCGGCACTGGCTTAAAGAGCAAGGTCCATCTGGGTGTAGATGATTCATGTGGCAGAAATATAGACACAGAGGGAGGGTTTCCAGATCAGCTTTCAAAAGCATTCTTTCCCATTCTGTGGCTTGTGCTGGATCTTCTTCCTGCCCCTGTGTCTAATTCTGTCCTGGGCCATGACCCTTTCCTTGGAGGGCTGGAGGAGACACCTTTTCTCTAGCTCCTAAGATATTCCTCCTTGACTTCTCTGCCCTCTGTGACCTCCTCCTAACCCTGCAGCCCAGACACTCCCACAGGGAGGAGGCCAAGACATGGTATATTGGTCAAGGGCTAGCGTTCTGTTCTCCGATGCCCCAGGGTTGAGCGAATCCCAGCCACATCCCTTCCAGCAACTCCAGCTGGTGAGCTTGTCAAGTTAACCTCTCCTAGCCTGGGTTTCCTTATCTTCAAGTGGAGAGCATATTTGTGCCACCTCCCAGAGCTCAAATAAGAGCAATAAAATCAAATAAGACAAAGCTGTACGGAACAGTTAGCACAGTACTAGCACAGAGTAGTCACTTATTAAATGACAGTTTTTGTGATTAGTATGTTGCTTGTTATCGATTGCAAAAATGGTTCTCAAATTTGTCTATGAAGAAGTGCCTTGAAATTCTAGGAAACCATGAAATATTCACATTTTAAATATATCTGGAGCACTGGTGTCCCAAGGAGCATAGTTTCGATCCCAAGCCCCTGGCCTGGTATTTGTTACCCGCTAAGCCCAGCTCCATCCTAGCCTCCCTGTACCTGCCCCTGAGCCCTCAGTCTCTTGGCCGTCGTGGGTGTTGGTTCTGCCCTCCATGCTCTTCTCTCAGGGCCAACCTGTCCTGCTCACTCCTGTTTTGCTCACATCTTGCAAGGTGCTGCTCAGCATCCTGCCTTCTCTGTAACAGCTTCCGCGACCACTGTGATGTCCAGGGACCTCACCTCCTACCACCCTCCCTCTAGCTCACTCCTTGTGGTCAGACAAAGGTGGCCTTTGTTCATCCTGTTTCTTCTGCCTGCAATGCCCGTCCCCAGTTTGTCTTCCTCTGGACTCTGACATGTCCCCTGGGCACCTGCTGAGACAAGGCCTTGGCTGGTTGTGGGGCATGTGGCTATGGATAAGGCGAGGCCCCTTCCCCTAAGGAGTGCTCTATCAACTGAGGAAAACCAACCCGTGAGAGACACAGTTCTTTGTAAGCTTGCT